TCTCCTGGTCCCTCTGTCTGTTTTTCTTGAGAAAGGCGTTCTATCTACCAGAATGACATATTCACCTCCTTCAGAGGTAGAGTTTTCACAAAACAAAAACTCGTGCTATACATATTAGCATTTGTGTTTGCGTTTGTGTTTGTTTCTGTTTATCACATGAACGTAGATCCATGGTCTACATCAGCCATTCCCAAACTCAGTAACACCGAGGCCCCCTTAAAAATCTGACGGGTCTGCGTGGCCCCCCCAAAATAATAACCAAGAAGACAACATTAAGAATAGGCTCTTCTGGTTATTTTATTTTGGGGAAATAGCCTCTGCTACAAACATTGTAATACAAAAATGATTACAGTGGCTTATTCAAGTCAAATAATGAACACAAATATTTTAATATTACAAACAAAACATTATAAATTTAACATTAAATAATTATATTATTTTTTTTATTTTTTTTATGACCTCCCGCGGCCCCCCTGCAGTACCCTCGCGGCCCACCAGGGGGCCGCGGACCCCACTTTGGGAGACACTGGTCTACATTGTCACGTCTCTCTATTGCGTATCCAATGTACTGGAGAGGAGGTTACGGCCGATGGTCGAATCTCGGCCGTAACCTCCCTTACCAGGGAGGCTGAGGAGTGTGATCCCACGATAATTGGAACACACCCTCCGGTCCCCCTTCTTGCCACTCCATTGGCACTGCCCCCGATCGCCACGCGATGTTGCAGAGACGTGTCAGCCAAGACAGTACTACAACATCCAGAGACTTTAGATAATCAGGGCGGATCTCATCCACACCCGGAGCCTTGCCACCATGGAGGCTACCAACCACCTTGGTGACCTCAGCCAGGGAGATGGATGTACCCGCCCCAACATCCTCAGCCTCTGCCTCTGTAACAGAGGGCGTGACGGGGGGATTGAGGAGAACCTCAAAGTATTCCTTCCACCGCCCGACAATATCCCCAGTTGAGGTCAGCAGCTCTCCACCCGCACCGTACATGGTGTTGGCAAAGAACTGCTTCCCCCTCCTGAGGCGCCGGATGGTTTGCCAGAATCTCTTCGAGGCCGACCGATAGTCATGCTCCATGGACTCTCCGAACTCCTCCCAGTCCCGGGTTTTTGCCTCTGCAACAGCCCGGGCCGCGGCACGCTTGGCCTGCCGGTACTGGACAGCTGCCTCAGGAGTCCCCCGAACCATCATGGCTCGATAGGACTCCTTCTTCAGCCTGACAGCATCCCTTACTGCCGGTGTCCACCACCGGGTTCGGGGGTTGCCGCCGGGACCAGCACCAGAGACCTTGCGACCACAGCTACGAGCCGCCGCATCGGCGATTGAGGTTCAACATAACTCTATTTATTTCTTGTTGGAAAGCACTTCCTGTATTGGCTTAAAGCCTCCAAGTTTACAATAGTTACTGTATTCTTTCAGTAGCTCTAAGAAAGGGTGGCTGGGTGACATTTTTATTTAAAAAAAAATCCCAGCCTCCATCCATTTTCACCCCAAGGTTTGAAACAATGGGCTTAACAAATTGTGTTTAAGCTCCCAGGTTCACGGAGCTACTGCTGCCATTGCTGGGCCCGACAAGCAGAACTTTTTTTCATTGAAATGTAAAAAGTTTGTAGCTATCAACATTTTGATTTCAGATATGCACTTCAAAAGTTGGGTGCTGCAAAAGTTATTGTTATGCTTAATGGTGCTTTCAGACTGCCAGCGCTGAAACGCACATTCTCTAGTTTTCAGACGCAGGGTTCTTCAGACCAGAAGTCCTGGCGCGCACCGGAAGTGGCGGAAATAGCCAGCGGGCTCTGATGCTAACAGAGTTTAGCTAGCGGCTTCTTGTAAACAGATCTTCTCCAATAATGCAGCTTTGCAGCGTGTCTGTGTTCAGAGACCTTCCACAGACTTTATAGAGGTGCGCAATAAGTTTATTTTATTATTAAACGGTACTTCCGCATCGGCGAACCCACTTGAAGCAGTTGCATAAAGTCACACTGCGGCTCTCTGATTGGTTGCTGCACGAGCGTCCAGAGGAAAGGTTCAGAAAAATTCATCTCCTGCGTTCCTCCCCTTCGACTTTCCCGTGCAGTCTGTGCGTGCATTCCGAGACGTTTGTGCGTTTTGACGCTCGGAACGCGCGTCACCATTGACTTTGCATTGAAAGCCGACGCGACATAAGAGGCACATATTGGCTGTCATCTGCGTACAGGTAGAGTGACACCCCAAACCCCCGAAGGATAGCTCTTAATGGCAACAGATACAGTGAAAACAGGAGTGACGACAGGGGGGCTGTGGAGGAAATAAAGTCACCAACTCTCACACAGAAACTCCTATCTCTCAGATAAGATCGGAACCATTCCAGAGCATAGCCCTGAAAGCCGACGCGGTGTTCAAGGCAACACAGGAGAGTTTCATGATCCACTGTGTCGAATGCGGTGGTCAGGTTCAGCAGCACAAACGCTACGTGTGGCCAGAGTCAGTGGACATCAGGACATTGTTATAAACTCGTAACAATGCTGACTCTATACTGTGGAGGTTCTTGAAACCAGACTGGAACACCTCAGGAATTTCATTTTCATCCACAAAGGACTTCAACTGGGCAAAGACAATTTTTTTCAAAGATTTTGGACACAAGCGGAAGTTTTGATATTGGACGAAAGTTTGAAGGATCTTTAGAATCAAGGCCAGACTTCTTAATTAATGGCTGGACAACAGCATGTTTAAAACGGGCAGGCACCACCCACTTAATACGGCTATTATTCACAATATGCAAAACAAAAGGAGCTTTAGTGGAAACACTTCTTTGAATAGGCGCAGTGGGATGGGATCATCCAGTGAACCAGCCGGCTTCATTTGACTGACCACTGTTGTCAAGCAAGAGTGTCACAGGCTGAAACTGAAGAAATACGGCTGTACAGGTCACAAATACCCAAGAGCCAACAGGTGTAGGGCCGATTAAGGCCCGAGTGGCCACAACCTTATTTATAATAAAGGAATTTGTCTAACATTGTCTAAAATAGACAGACAGGCTGCGTCAAAACAAAAAGAAATCTTCAATATCCCAGTCAAAGCCAGAAAAAAACGTCCAAATGAGACTGGTCAAACGCAGCAGAAAACTGAGCGACAGAGGCTGAGTTACAGGAGCTATACCCGTTTCTGCTTTTTTTTTCAGTTTGAATGTTTAGCACCGCCCCCCCAACTCGCTTACAGGCTTCTCATTTCCCCTATACGCTCTCTTTGCGTCAAAATGTAGTATGAGCATAGATAGTCCGAGGCTGTCCAGCTACCACAGGTCTCTCTGGAGGATACAATGTAAGCTAATGCTACGTAATTTCACCATTGCTTGATTTCTTCTTTGATCATTTTTTCGCTGTAGTTCCCTCCTGAAAAAATGGGAAAAGTCACTTATGAAGTCTTTGTTATATTTGGGTGGTCTGCACACAACTGCGCACAGAACGGGCGGATCAGAAGCCAAAACAAATTATCAGAAGCCATTTTGAAATATTCGAGCAACACTTTGTGGATGTGGGTGTGTGTGCTATAAGACATATTATTTTGCATCAAAAACACTTTCTCATAACTTGTTGTTGCTGTTTTCTAACATGTTAGATCCTGGACATGTTTGAGGAGATGCTAAAGTTAAACTAAATAGTGTTACAGTCCCTTTTCTACAGGTTCATCTGTTTTCACAAACACCTCATTTTCTCAGCTTTTTGTGTAAGACTGGTGCTTTTTGTCACACTCCCCTCTTTTCGACTGGAGCTCACAGGAGAATGAAACAAGCTAAAAACAAACGTCTTTTTGCTGCTGAAAGTAGACAGTCCTGTCTTTCAGACTCTGGTTTCATATTTTTTATAGCACACAATATTCTGTGAGCCTTGACAATCGGTGAAGTCATCAAAAATGGCTGGCAGTCAATGATAACCTATTTTTCAAAGCAGTCCTGAACAAAAATTATTTCCAATTACAGATTATAAAATCGTTACTTACAGATGTCACGTACAATTTCATAGAATTACTGATTATAAAAACAGGTAAATTTCACTGAAGATGTCTCAAGTGCTCTCAATCGGGATCTAAAAGCATTCAATGAAATACAGTCAGATCATTTCCAGTCTTTTTGCAACACGTTCCATGTAGAAGGAGCAGCATGTACAAAAGCTTCTTTAGGAATGAAACCTCTGCCTTGTTTTTACGCTACTGTGTGGTGTTGGTCATCTGTGGTGGTACTTGGAGAGGCAAGTATTTTCTGAGGGGGTACTTGGTGTAAAAAGTTTGAGATCCACTGTGTTAAGCCTAGCGTACATCGACAGAGAAACTGGGGACAACTAGTTGCAAGGCGGCTTTTGGCAACTGAGAGGAGATGGTGGGAGATGATCAGTTGCCGAAATCGGTCGATGTGCGCGCTCTTACAACTGGAGATGATCAGTCGGTCTCCAGTTTCAGTCAGTTGCCCGTGTTCTACTTTTCGGCAACTAGTTGTCCTCAGTTTCGGAGATATGACCCGATGTGCGCGCTCCATGCGCCGCTCCGACAACGTGTGTGTATTGCGAGCCCGCAACATTTTATGTCAGAAAACACACTGTAGTTGAGGCTAGTTGCTGTCGATGTACGCGCTGTTATTCCCGAGACTGGTCTGCGACTGGGAGTTGCCCGTTTTCGTCAGATTGTCGATGTGTGCGGGGCAGCAACTCATATGCGACGGATATAATCAGTTGCCAGTCCGATGTACGCTAGGCTTTAGACTGTCTGAGTCACTTCCTGTTTTTAAGCATCGTCTTTAGACTCACTTGTTCTCATTGGCTTTAAATTCATTTTGAATAGATTTGTTGTTGTTGCTGTAAAAAGTGTTTTTTGCCACTGTTTTGTATTTTGCAGTTGTGTATTTGTGTCTTTTTATGTACAGCCCTTTGTATTAGTGCTTTATGAATAAACTGGACTGGACTGAGAACTGTGTGCAAATATACAGTAAAAATAACAGACTCGAGTGTGTCCTCCTCTTCAGGCGGTGCATGGGAGGCAGTGCAGACACCCGTTCACAGGCTCTCTCCTGCCCATTATCACTGACCGTATAGTGGACATGCAGCTGGGCACAGGTAACTCTATTCTCATGCACCCTTATGCATGCGGTCAAATGTAATAAAGCTGTTGTACCCAATGTGTACCTCCAATAAAAAATTAATGAAACTAGTTTCTTGCTCAATAAATAGTTTGGTTCTATTTATAGACTGTATACAGATGGACAATGCTTATTCACTTAGGCCAATAGGGAATTGCTCATGGACAAAGTTTTATTCCGACTTGTTCTGGCTTACATTGAAAAGTATACTCAGTTGCTCAGTAACTGTGTCACAAGCACCATTTAGGGCGCTCGCTATGATCCCGAGGTTTATATTGTCTTTGTAAATCCAGATATGAGCCATATAAGGATTGACCAATCAGATGTCTTTATTCCTGGAGACTCCAGTTTGCCTTAGCAACCATCTTAGCAACAAGTCTGTGGTTGTATCACTAGTTTTCACATGTACTGTATGTAATTGTGGCTTTTGTCACATCTTCAACGAACGTTGATCAACGTTTTTGCCCAACCCAAATCGTCAAATAGGGACTAACAGCTCTTTCTTGTAAGTATTTATTTTCTAATTTGATAAAAAATAGATTTAGGTGTTTATCCCACCATAAAGAGTCTTTCTGTTGGGATAAACACCATATATTATTTATTACCGCAGCTTTAACATACACATAGGAGGAGGTCTCACAAACACACCATGTGTAAAAGTCAATAGTTAACAACTATAGATAGAAGATGCAGTGATGGTTGTTTCATGCTTGTTGTGTCCAGGTGCTGTTAAAGTGACCCCTGCTCATGACCATTCAGACTTCCTTCTCTCACAGAGACACAATCTGCCTCGTGTCACTGTCATCGGGGAGGACGGCACAATGACACCACCAAGTGGACACTGGCTACAGGTGCTCCTCAAAATGTTAGGGGTATAAAGATACATGTTTGGAACAATCGACGGTGGGTATTTATAAACTGGTTTGGGGTGAGTTCAGTTGAAGGGGCTTACCAATTTTTGGATGAATTGGGTTTGACTGAGGTTTTTAATGGATGCCGTGTCCAACGCGTTGTAATCTGGAGTTCTACTGAGGGAAGATGTGGTCATGCAATAGGAATGACCAATTTGCTACTTTTAGCAAATTAGCTCAGACTGAACAGGGCAAGGCAAAGGGTTCTTTTGGCAGGGCTTGTCATCCCCAAAATGGCCTCATTTCCTCCTGTGTAGTCTCGCCCACAGTGGACCATGACTTTTCTGGACATGGTCTATTTGGAGCTGTGCCTATTTGGAGCTGTACGGTGTGCCTCCCACAGCACTAAGTTAATGTGGTTCAATACAATGGACTGTATTATTATTAACATTTATATGTACTGCATCATTTATATAGGTTTTGTCCCTCTCTTTGTTGTGTTGTGTGAGTGTTTGTGAAATATTTTAAAGGCTTTAAAAAACCCTTTTACCAAGTAAATTTTTGAAAAGTCAGTTTCAAATGTACTGCCAATAACAATGTTGGCGATTGTTGCTATACAGGAACGTTTTGAAAATTTTTCAAAACCATCAAATTCCTACCAAAAGATAGCAGTCCCATAGTAACCAGATAGCTAGTTACTGTCAGTCATACCCTCAAAACTCTTGATATTTGGATTTCTCTAAACTCTTGTGGGTATTTATACTTCTGGCCATTTGATGTATACGTTTCTTTGAATCCAAATTTGTGATTTTATGGCATGAATGAATGGTCTTCTAATGTTGTGTCCCAGGGCGAAAGGCGGTTTGAGGCCAGACAGATGGTGGTGGACGCTTTGGTGGAGAAGAAACTGTTCAGGGGGAAACGAGAGCATAGTATGGTTTTACCAATATGCAGGTATTTCAAATGACACTATACAATGGTGTAGGGCTGCACGATATATATAAAAAAAATACCGTTATCGCGATATGGTGCGTGCGATATCCATATCGAAAATATCTGCAATTAATTTTTTTTTAATATCTTTCTTTAAAAAAAAAAAAAAGACAATAAAACAGACAACCACATCAACATTCAACAAGAACAACAAACAAACAAAAAAGTATATAAAGTTTGGACACACCCTCTCATTCAAAGAGTTTATTTTCATGATTATGAAAATTGTAGATTCACACTGAAGGCATCAAGACTATGAATTAACTCATGTGGAATTATGTACGTACTAAAAAAGTATGAACCAAGTGAAAATATGTGTTATATTCTGGGTTCTTCAAAGTAGCACCTTTTGCTCTGATTACTGCTTCACTCTTGGCATTCTCTTGATGAGCTTCAAGAGGACCTGAAATGGTCTTCAACAGTCTTGAAGGAGTTCCCATGATGCTTAGCACTTGTTGGCCCCTTCACTCTGTGGTCCAGCCCCAAAACCATCTGGACTGGGTTCAGGTCCGGTGACTGTGGAGGGCATCTGGCCCAGCACCATCACTCTCCTTATTGGTCAAACAGCCCTTACACAGCCTGGTGTGGATCTACAGGCAATAGGCATGAAAAGAAACTCATTGAATGAGAAAGTGTGTGTGTCCAAACTTTTGGTCTGTACTATACATGTATTTAAATGTCATTAATGTTGTGCATATTTTTTGTTATTTATCTCATGCGTTTCAATGCAGATTGCAATTTTAGGTGAAAGACAAAAATATTGCAATAATATCGTTATCGCAATACTATTGATACACTCATATCGAATATCGTACCAATTTCCAATATCGTGCAGCCCTACAATGGAGTTTTTTTTTAAAGATGGTGCACCTAGCTTAAAAACTACAAAAAATCCACTACAAATCTACCACAAAAAAGCTACTGTGTAATAAAATTCTATAACTTGTTCCTGACTCTAAAACAGTTTTGTTCTTTTATTAGTTTTCACATGTAGCTTTGGCCTGTCACGTTTGTAGATGAGCCTTTTCAGTAAAAAGTACCAGCCCTCACTCAGCCAATCAGCATAAGAATGTTTTCTAATGTCAAAAAATGCATGCCTTGGTCTCCTTTGTTCACAAAATGCTACTTCTCAGCTGTCTCTGTGCCAAATAATTTTGGAAAATGAAAGAAATGTTGCTGGCTTATAAAATAGTGAAAACCCTCTGTTTGCTAGTCGATCAGGCGATGTGATTGAACCGCTCCTGAAACAGCAGTGGTTTGTGCGATGTGAGGAGATGGCGACTAAAGCTGTGCAGGTAAAGATTTATTCTCACCGCATTAAGGCTTTAAACAAGTTCTCATAGCATGTGTTCATTTGTTCAGGCTGTGGAAGACGGACAACTGGAGATTATCCCACAATTTTACACCAAAACGTTGAAGCACTGGCTCTCCAACATCAGGTGGTACAATTTACACAGCTGAAAGATGAGCTACTCAGAAATGGATATAAAAGTCAAATAATTATATTTGTCATCTTTGAAGAATGTGTGATTATGCTTTATGTTTAGTTACCTCAGCCTACATCTATAAAAATGCTAATATCTCGAGAGCCAGAGGTGGCCAATTTTTAGTGTTTGAAATATTAATAATGCATTGTTTTTATATAGCGCTTTTCAGGGCACTCAAAGGTGCTTCACATGTCATTATTCATTCACTCCATACACGGTGATTATTAACTGCCAGTGTGCCCCAGGGCAGCTGGGGCACACTGACAAAAGCAAGGCAACCAGTATGTGCCATTGGCCCCTCCGACCACCACCAACCATTCACACACACACACCACTAATTATAGGCCAGGGGTCGGCAACCTGCGGCTCCGGAGCCGCATGCGGCTCTTTAGCCTCCTTATTGCGGCTCCCTTTGGCCTTGACGAAAAATAAATAAAAATGAAAATATGTGTTATTTATGTTCATATATGATTAGTTTATTTTGCGCATCTTGGAGTTTGAGTTGATACAATCCAATTTTTTAAAAAGCTATTTCTAATTCATAATTTATCAACAAAATATAGGTTACGTCACGGCTGCGCCGCGGCTATTAAGCTCGACATCTCGCGCCTCATACCTGCTAGCAGCCTTCTGAAGAGCCATGAAAAAAACCCAGAAAAGGAAAGTTTCGGAAGAAAATAGAGTTTAATTCAGTGTGGACTTATTTATTTGCATTCACCACCAACGACGCTGGCTTACCTGTATGCTTGATATGTGGTGAGAAAATATCGAACAACAAAAAATGTAATATTGAAAGACATTTTCATAAACACTCCGCATTCCTTGAAAAATACTCAACCGAGGATGAGCGAAAGAGAGCAATTTCGGAACTGCTACAAAAAGCTGAAGAACGCAAAATATCTTTCAAGAACTGGATCAGTTCTCCTGAACTTTGTGGCAGCTTTGTGGCAGCTCTGGAGATCGTAAAGAGGGGGAAGCCGTTCACAGATGGAGAGTATATGAAGGAGTCGTTCATGAAAATATCAGAGCATCTATTCTCCGACTTTAAAAACAAACAGGAAATTATTCAGAAAATTAGAGAAATGCCTCTCTCTGCAAAGACCGTTAGAGACAGGACCATTAAAATGGCAGAAAACATCAGCAGTAAGCAAATTTTTGACATCAATTCAGCTCAAGCATTTTCAATTGCCTGTGATGAGTCAAGTGATGTAAACGATGTTGAGCAGACAGCACTGTTATGCAGATATGTAAACTCTGATGGGCCGCAGGAAGAACTGATTGAACTCATACCGCTAAAGGGCCAAACACGAGGGCAGGACATTTGTGATGCTGTTTTGAGTTGTTTTGAAGCGAAAGGAATAAACACCACTCACCTGGTGTCAGTGTCTACTGATGGGGTACCCAGCATGAGAGGAGCGCAGAAGGGCTTTGTGAATTTGCTTCAAAAGTCACTGGATCGAGAGCTCATGACGTTTCACTGCATCCTCCACCAAGAGGCTCTGTGCGCACAAACTTTCCGCCCTGACTGTATGGAAGTGATGAACCTCGTTATCAAGATAGTAAACAAAATAATTGCTAACGGGTTAAGCCACCGACAGTTTTATTCATTGTTAGAAGAAGTCGACCATGCATATTCGGATCTCCTGCTGCACAATAAAGTCCGGTGGCTGTCCAGGGGAGAGGTGCTAAAACGCTTCGCTGCCTGTCTGGAGCATGTGAAAACCTTCTTGGAAAGCAAAAGCCTCCGTTATCCTGAACTAGAAGACCTCAATTGGCTGAGTAAATTCTACTTCATGTTGGATATGACAAGTCACTTGAACACGCTGAATAAAAATCTCCAAGGAAGGGGAAGCACAGCCCTGCAGATGCTGGAAGATGTTTTGGCATTTGAGCGCAAGATGACAGTGTTCGCAAGAGATGCGCAAAGAGGTACGCTCTCTCATTTTCCCTCCCTTAGAGAGTTCAAAGAAGCGAACAATCAAATAAATTACGATTATTTCCATTGTGCCATTATTACAATGCAAGCTGCATTTGGAGAAAGATTCACTGATTTCAGAAAGGAGAAGCCTACCCTCTCTTTCCCTGTCACACCGCTGGACATCGACCCATCCCAGCTAAACACAGTTGCATTCACCGGAGTAAGTAAGCCTGATCTAGAAATTGAACTGGCCGACATAGCGGACAAAGATTTATGGGTAAATAAGTTCAAATCTCTGACGGCGGATATTGAAGAAATCGCCCGTCAGAAGGCTACACTCGTAGATGAGAGCCTACAGGCCTGTATGAAGATCAAAGTCACATCCTACAGCCCTGACATAGGGAATATCTGCAGCGAATCTCAGACACAGAAGTCACATTAAACAGGTAACAATTAAATATAATTGAATACGCTATTACTTTTCCTATCAAATAGCCAGACTCCGGGCTGATGGAGATTTTTTTTTGTATGTTCAGGTATTTTGGGTTTTTTGCTCAGCCAGAAATAAACTGAAAAGGACGAGAGAGCACTGACATGGACTTGTCAAGGACGGTCCTAATTTTATGTTTATTTCTAAAGCTCAGTTAAATGTTTTATTTTAAAGTGGACTTCTTTTTGTTGTATTCAGTGGTTATAACAGCCAAAATAAAAAAAGATGGTAACTTTTAAAAGTTCTAATTTTATGTTTTTTTCTAAAGCTCAGCTAAATGTTTTATTTTAAAGTGGACTTCTTTTTGTTGTATTTAATGATTATAAAAGCTAAAATAAAAAAAAAGATGAGAACTTTTAAAAGTTTACAAGATCTGTTATTTTGTGCGGCTCCCTACAATTTTTTTTTGGCAGACGAGGGGGCAAAATGGCTCTTTTGATAATAAAGGTTGCAGACCCCTGTTCTAGGCAATGTGGGTGAAGTTTTTTGCTGAAGGACACAACTGCAGTTTGGCATTTTACAACCGCAGCCACCCCACTGTGGCACCTGGTGTTCCGAGAGGTCTCCCATCACAGTACTAACTAGGCCCTGCCCCGCTTAGCTTAAGAGTTGCGATGAGATCTGGCTGTCACTTACAGGTGGAACCACAGTCTTCCCACTGTAAAGACCTTTGTGGATGTTTGAATGTATTGTTGATGCTGTTTACAAGAGCAGTGGTCCCTACCTTACAGGTGTGAAAAAGGGAAACATTAAGCCAGGCTGGAACAAATATGTTGCAGTCCATCATGCAGAGGCCAAAAAAGCACATAAGGCATGGGCACAATCTGGCAAACCCAGAGCACGGCCTGCCCTGGAGTATAAAAGGTTAACCAACGCACGGTATAAATATGCCATTCGCCATGTAACAAAATGTGAACAGAACATGAGAGCAGACTCTATGGCTGAAAAATTACTTTCCAACAACGTTGCTGGTTTTTGGAATGAAGTCCGAGCTCTAAACAGAGTTAACACGCTACTGCCCAGTGCTGTAGAGGCAGTGTCTGGGGATGAAGGCATAGCTGAACTATGGAGACAGCACTACTCTGCACTTTTCAATTGTGTGCAAAGTGAGCCCTATAAAGTGGGTAATCTGGATGATCGGGATGTAGTGACTATTACACCACGAGAAGTCCAGGAAACAATTGCTCAACTGTCTGACAACAAGGCTACTGGCCCTGACAAAATCACGGCAGAACACCTGAAATATGCCAGTCCAAGAGTTGCTGTACTGCTGGCATTATGCTTCACCGGGTTCATGACCCATGGGCTTCTTCCTGACTCGTTACTGTCTGTCACTCTAATGCCTGTCATCAAGGATAAGGCTGGCAAAGTTGGGAGTTTGGATAACTACAGGCCGATAGCTTTAGCTAGTGTGATATCTAAAGTCCTTGAGAAGATACTGATGGGTCGCTTGAGTCACTGCATAAGAACAACAGACAACCAATTTGGATTTAAATCCAAGTTGGGGACAGATCTATGCATTTTTAGTCTTAAGGAGACGTCGTATTTAAGACAAAACTCTTCTGTGTTATTAGGGTTCATTAACGCATCCAAGGCATTTGATCGCGTGAACCACTGTAGTGTTAGAATGGCTGTAGAACTGGTTGCATGATCGGTGACACACTGGTCAACCATTTCATGTATGCCGATGATTTGGCCATTCTTTCCCCGAGTAGTGCTGGCTTTCAGCAGCTTTTGAACGTATGCTCTGATTATGGGGTCAAGCATGATATTCAATATAACGCCAAAAAGAGCGCTGTACTAATCAGCCGCACCAAAGGGGACAAACATCTTTGTTTTCCAGACTTTTACTTATCTGGTCAAAAGCTGGGTGTTTACAGCAAAATTAAATACTTGGGTCACATCATAACTGACCGACTCTGTGATGATGATGACATTAATCGCCAGTGTCGTAAACTGTACGCTCAAGCCAACACCTTAGTGCGGAAATTTCACATGTGCACAGTCGATGTTAAAATTAAAATGTTTAAAATGTACTTTTCACCTCTGTATACAGCTCCACTGTGGAGCAGATATAAGAAGGCTGCACTACAGAAGCTCAAAGTTGCATATAATGATGCTTTCAGGATTCTGCTGAAAAAGCCCAGGTCCAGTAGTGCTAGTCTGCTGTTCTGTCAGAGTCGTGTGAACTCTTTCCATGCTCTCATGAGAAATATGATGTACAGGTTTATATATGCCGTGAGAACTATTTTGTGCGGTCTCTGGTGAACCCCAGTATGAGTTCTGTGCGCTACCAGTCAGCTCTGTGGAAGCTCTGGTACAGTTTTCTTTTATAACTGTTTGTCTGTTGTGTTTGTGATGTGTTTGTTTTTTATGGACTTCGAGTCTGATAAATAAAGATAATAATAATAATAATAATAAATAATTGGCCTTAACATGAGATGGCTCATTTTTTGGGGCAGATTTTCTCAGGAAAACAACCACATGATTTATTTTACTCAGTTCTCAGCAATCTTTGCCTTTAGTCCAGTTCTTTTTTAACCC